CCAGAGCAGAGGGAGGATGCTGGTGACCTCTCTCTGGGTGGAAGCAAGTGCCTGCAAGTGGCACCACATCCTCGGGAGCTCGGGCTGCTAGTCCGATTGCCCTTGGCTGCCCCGCTGTAGGAATGTGCCAGAGGTCTGTACCTTCTCGTGATTTATTGCTATGACCGTGCCTTGAATAAAATGACTTCACCCACCTGCTCTCTGGTGTCGTCACCCCCATGCGTTGTGCCAGGAGATGGGGGACCCTTGCCACTGGAGCCTATGAAAGGACCCCAGCCCCTTTTCCCACCTGTGGGTTGCTTTTGACCCTTCATGGGGATATCCTGCAGAGGCTTCAGTGGCGAGGAGACCACTTGGACACCACCCCGGCTCCAGGCACCTTGCTGCCCACCATGGTCCCCACAAAAGCAAACCCCAGCGAGTGGACAGAAGCAGCAAAGGCGTAGGAGTGGGGAGCACCCCGCCGTGTCCCCTTGGAAAGGCTGGCACTGCCTTTGGCACCATTGCCGACATTGGGGATGGGGTGCAGACCCAGGACAAGCACATACCTTCCCTGCAAGTGCTTGCCCTGCAGGCAGGGCTCAGGACACCACCCAAGGGTCACACACTGCCAGGAGGGAGCATGAGGGCCTGGAGCTCGTCTGGGACCACAGTAAGGAGCAGGGGGGGCAGCAGGGGGACCCATCCCCTCTGGGGATGGAGCAGATATTCCCAAAACTGAACTGCCCACCAGCAAGTCCCAGGTAAGGGGGAGAACATCATTTTGGGAGCCTTTCTCTAGGTGTTGAGCAGACAGCGTGCTTTTGTTCCCTTCCTCCCTCCCAAAACTCACTCTTTATACCCAAATTCCTATTTGAATGATTTGCCTCTGGTTTCAGCAGGTCCCTGCTGCCGGCCCCTCCATGGCTTCCCTAGGGTGAGCCCTGCCCAGCCAGCCCGGCTTATGTCAGGGGGCAAAGCCCTTTGGGTGAAAAACTGGAAAATTTAAAAACCCACTCCCCTCATCACACCACCACCACTCCCAGAGGCCCCCTACGGTTTGTAATTAGTGATAAAAGGAGATAACTGCAGGGCCTTGCTGGCGCCAGGGAGCTGAGGCAGAAGCCCTGGCTGCGAGCAAGGGCTGTAATTGCCCCCCTGGCTCCCGGCCCTCACGCCGGGGAGGTTCATCACAGCCTGGCGAGGTTGGGTAAGCCCCGTCCTGCTGCACCTCCACCACCCCAGCCCTCAGAAACCAGCTCGCCTGATTACAGCCTGCGCATACAGAAGTCCCTGACAGCCAGGGCCAAGCAATTGCATGGTGTTTCCCACTGCACTGGCTGGGGGG